CCCCAAAACCCCAAAACCCCAAAACCCCAAAACCCCAGCATCCTATTAATAGATTGAGAGATTATTTTGCAGTTTATATATTAAATATTTACCAAAGGGAAATGTTCAAATTTGCTCGCAGGATTCCAGCCTTAGCAACTTCAACGAGGAAAGATATGTTTGGAAAGCAGTTTAGGCGAAATTCTCAGGTTTATTTCACAAATTGCAAGCCATTTTCTACAAAAAATGGAGACAAGAAGAAAAAGTTGCTAAAAATAAATCAGAAAGAAAAGGAAGAGGCTGAAATTTCTAGTGTCAGGGCTGCCCTTTTGCGTAAGAAGAATAAACTTGGATCTACAAACACCGAGCCTGCATCCCCCACTAAAGATCAAGAAGCTGCTTCAGCAGCTGAGCAAACCCCAGAGGGTAATGAGGTAGAGATGCATGGTCTTCTCCCTGTGCATGAGATGTACACTATTAAGTTCAATAGTCCGATACTTCCTTACTCTAAGTTCCCTCTGACCCAGAACAAGTACATTCAGCAGTTCTTCAAGAGGTACTCGAAAGATAAAGATTCTGTAGAGAAGTTGATCGGGGTTCACTTCTTAGGCAACAAGAACTTAAATGCAAAGGATGCAATTGGAATTGAGATCGAACTGGACAGAGGTTCCAGCAACATGAATGTAGTCGAATCTAAGTCATTTAAACGCTTCAAAATTATCAGCTATAATGCTGCAACCAACTTCGTAAAGGCAGTTGAGTACACTGACAGACTTTACAGAACCAGGAACGCTGAGGGAGAGAAAATTGAAATGACGCTGCAACAAATCTTTGAGACCCAGGATTGCCCGGACAAACCTCATTTCGAAGACCTGATTAACTCAGAGATCGCTGATTTGAAGAACACTTGGTTCCAATTCAACAAGAGGATGAACTCAGCATTGATGATGCTTCCTTCTGAGATGATCAACACGTATGATATGGTTGTGAAGACTCTACCGGTGCCAAATTTTGAATATCACAGATATAGGAAGGATATGACCCTGTTCGAGATGTTCAATCAGATCACCTGCAAGATGGCTCACTACTACTTCTCTATGTTCCAAGCCTTGTTTTCAAAGGACCAGAAGGGCTTGAAGAAGCAGATGAAGGAGTTCCTCGAAGAGACTGACCCAATGATGAGGTCTAAGAAGGTCACCTACCTGTTTGACGAGTTTACACACCTGCTCGACCAGAAGTGCTACTACATCCAGAAGACAGCAGAAGAGTTCAAGGAAAGGTCTAAGCAAGCCATGCTTGAGAGTGCATTCCAGAAAGTCCTCGAGAACAATAAGACTAATGAGAAGGACAAGTTCCAGAAGATGCTTGATGATACCAAGGAAATGCCTGATAGGATTAGGAAGATTATCCAGGAAGAAATCAAAGCTCTCGAATCTAGGTCTGGAGATATGGATTCGGCACGAAAAATTGCCTTCCTCAAACATGTTTTCAGACTTCCTTGGGATAGAAGAGTTGAAGCGTACTGGGACGTTCAGTATTCGAGAGAGATTCTTGAGAAAACTCATTATGGGATGGTTGAAACCAAGGAAAGAATCTTAGAGTTTATTGCGAAGAACAAGAGGATAAACTCTAAAAAGGGCATGGTCCTACTTCTTACAGGCCCTCCTGGGGTCGGAAAGACCTCTATAGCTAATAGTATTGGAGACTGTCTGAAAAGACCAACTGCTGTGCTATCCATGTCAGGTCAAAGCGATCCTTCACATATTAAGGGTAGCAAGAGGACCTATGTAGATTCCCAACCAGGTATTTTTATAAAGGAACTTCAGAGGCTTGAGGTCAGGAACCCCGTGTTGATCATCGATGAGATTGATAAAATTGGATTCAATAATATCAGGGGAGACCCTTCATCAACATTGTTGGAGTTATTAAATCCAGAGCAGGCAAACACCTTCAGTGACAATTACCTAGACTTTGAGTTTGATTTCTCAGAGTGTATATTTATATGCACCTCTAATTCAACAAGGAACATGTTGCAGCCACTTCTCGACAGGATCGAGGTGATTGAGGTACCTCCGTACCTTCCCACTGAAAAGTTATCCATAGCTAAGAAATATCTGATCCCTGGCTTCTGAGAGGAATATGGATTTCAAGAAGGAAAGGAAGAGATCTCTTTCACAAATGCCTCTATTGCAAAGATGATCAAAGATTACTGCGGTTACGAAGCCGGCGTCAGGAACCTTCGCAAATGAATCGACCGTGTCTTTAGAAAAGTAGTTGCCAAGATTGATGAGAGAGACAGTAAGATTGAGCAAGAGAGCCAAAAGAAATCCAAGCTTCAGAAGCACACAGAGAATGAAGAAGCTGCGGACATCAATCAAACAGCAATGCTGGATGATGAGACTGAGGCCGCTCATTACCAGGTTAATTCTGAAAACTTGGACAAGTTCTTAGACTTATCAATGAATGATGATTATTACTACCAGAATATCAATAAGACCCTACCAGTTGGTTGCGCCAACGGACTGGCTTATATTGATTCAGGCTACGGATCAGTCCTCAAGATACAGTTCGTCAAAAAGTTCTCCCTCAAAAAGAAGGATGAGGATGACTCGATCGAATTTGTAGTCAGCCAGACAGGCCGACTTGGAGAAGTCATGAAGGAGTCCCTAGATGTCGTTCAAGTTGCAACTCTGAACTATCTTGGTGAAGAAATAGAAGGCAAAAATGAGTTCCACTTGCATGTCCCTCAAGGGGCCATCCCGAAGGATGGCCCCAGTGCTGGAGTTGCACTATTCTGCTCATTGACTTCTATTATCCGAAACAAGCCATTGAAGCCGAACTTGGCCATGACAGGGGAGATCACTACTCTCGGAGAGGTAGTGGCTATCGGTGGTGTTCGTGAGAAGTTAACTGCTTGCAAAAACCATAATATTACTCAAGTGATGCTACCTTTTAGCAACAAGAAAGATTTTGAAAAACTCCCAGATGATTTCAAGGAAGGATTTGAAATCTTCTTTGTCAAAGACATCGATGAAGCCTACCGTGTTGCCTTCACAGATGACGTGGAAGGTATCGATTTCCAGGCTTATGAGAAGGATGAGAAAGTAGAACAAATCTTTTCAAAGGAAGAAATGATGGAGAATAACAGGCTAGATCCTCTTGTTTAAAGCTTTAAAGTAGAATTTACGCCCCAAGGATAGACATTTGATTGCTTCGTTCTATTTTTAGAAATATAATTGGGGTTTTGGGGTTTTGGGGTTTTGGGGTTTTGGGG